GTCCCGTTGATATGATTGATGTTGCGACGAGATGCATTCATTGCTCATAGACAGAAAGTGATACCGGCGATCTGACTCACCCATTTGGTCTCAGTTCCCATTCCCCCCACCGCGCACATAGGAATGTGGTTGCGCTCTGATTATAGTTAACAAGGTCAACATCCGGGTCTCACAGCCTTTTATAGCGTATAAATTCACAAGGGCCCCAAGCTTAGATGGATGTCGTGGTAGCTGTTTTTACGTATAAAGCGTCATCGAAGAAATATTAATGAATATTGTCGGTCTGCCCACTTGCCAGAGCCATATAAACCATATACACAAAGATAAGAGCAATGAGCTGCTTGATTATCTGCGTTTTCCCGCACTTTAGATAGTGCAGGTGCATTAATCTGGGATTCTGATTAGACACGCAATTCTCTGTTCTTATTGGCTGAGATGATAACTCAATAGAAGAGCGGTTTCGGTGGTATGGTCCTTATATCTCAATATAGTTCCGAATTCCGATCGAGCAAAGTTTCAATTTTATTACTTGAATTATAATAAAAATGTCCTCTTCCTGGATAAATTGTATTTCAATTTATCTCAAAAGTTTCTTCATCCTCAGATGTCCGGAAACAATTTCGAAAATAACGCCCCTCACATATTGGTTAATCCCGTTTGATAAATGAAGCTATTTCAGATATGTACACGCTGCATTAAAAGTAACAGCTGTATTGGGAATGACGCCAAAAGAAGTCAGATGAAATTCTTTGAATAACCCCAGATTGCACGAGCGACTCGATTCCAAAAATAAAATAAAACATAAAAATGATATTTCATACACTGATGTACATATTGGTTAATCCCTTTTGACAAACGCAACTATCTTAGATATGTACACGCGGCATTAATGAATTTGAAATAACAGCTGTAATGGAAGTGACGCCAAACGGAGTCAGATGAAGTCCTTTGAACAAACCAAGATTGCATGGGCGACTCGATTCCAAAAATAAAATAAAGTTTCTTTCACTGATGTGCTGAAACAAGAACTGCCAGTTCCAATTTTTTGCCAATTTATTCATATATTCATATATTCATTTAATTTTTTTGGATTCGAAACACATCCTTGTAGGTTGCAATCATAATCGAGGACTGAAGACCGAGTTCAAGTTGAAGAGAAACATAAAAAAACAGAAGATATTATTAACACAATTTTAGCAGCAATTTTACGAAGATCTTTATTGGCTGAATTATTTCTTGTTGTGAAAGTTTTCTGTAATTGTTTTGAGTTTCAACGTTATAAAAATGATTGCCAGAGGTTTTCCATAAATAAGTTAAAAAATGAAAGGAAATTAAAATATATATTTTTTTAACCTTGTTAAATCAGGAGTTCGCTCTGATTTTTTTTAATTTTGGGTGTGTTTTAATTTTTTTAGGGAAAGAAAAATCTTCTAATTTTGACATTTCGCTTTGCTTAAGTACAAATAATGATAATGGGAGATATTTTATAATTATTATCTAAAATAATGTTTTATTTTGTGAATATGCAGTACATAAGTGTATCGTTTTATTTGGTGCAAAAAAATTTTTCTCGAGGTTTAACACAGATGTTGCGTGTTTTTGGACATTTCCTCAAACTTGTAAAACCGATTTAAATTATTCCTGACTAAAAGTAACTGCCGCTATAGATGAAAAGGTCGTAGAAAAAAAAAAAAGTAATCTTAAATGTAAGCGAAACTCTTCGGCTCAACCATAAGCTTCTTTGGCCGCGAAGATTATTATTTGACGGAGGAGATAAAACCAACATAAAAATTGAAACCACCAATTTTCTTTCATAAAGCTTGCTTGCAAGAGTGAATATACATCCTCTTTCCGTACGTGATTTGAAAACCAACCTCAGTACGATTTCCTTTTATACAATAAATAATTAGAAAAATTTTCTGCGCAAGTTCGCTTCTGAACAGCTGCGGAGATGAAAAACGCCATGACGTCACTGAGCTCGAAACGGCAATTTTTGTCAGTTAGAAACAAAATTTTTTCGCTGGAAAAAATTATCGAACGGTAAAATTTCAACACGGACTGATCACGCAGTGACTCTGCAGATAAATGATACGAGGTTTAGTTGGGTTATGGAAATCTAATCCTAAGCGACGAGGGAGGTGAACAGACAAGATCGTGCATATCAAAATGAAAGGTTAATACGTTACGAAAGAAATTAGCATACACAGCAAACTGATTGCTTAGCAAGAGAGAGAGAGAGAGTGTTATTTAACTTAGCTTTCTTTTTTTTTTAAAAAAATCTCGTAATTCCCTTCTCGTCATCTGATCGAACGACACAAATGATGTTTTTAGCGATCAATGCCTCGAATCAGAAAATTTCACCAATTCACCGAATAATTTCACTCCGAAGCGCTCGAACGCTGAGAAGATATGTTCAGAATAAATCATATGATATACAAACACTCGTGTTAAAAACGATGGATCACAAAATCTTACCTTATGGTTAGATTTCTTTCCGTAAAGCGAACAGAGTTTCGTCGCTTTTATGGGAATGTGTTAGTGTTTCGTGAGGGTGTTAGTCCAGGGTCCCCAAAGATGAACTTACAGCCGAAGGAAGCAAGCCTCGAGTAGTAGTATTAGCAGCTCCAGCGTAAGTGAAAATGATTGATAACTGAACCCATTCATAGGACACGTGACGTCACCGAGGAGAAAAAGTGACCAATCGTGGCCAGGTGTGACTTTAGTACTATAATTAAAACCTTGATTCATCGCGAAAGTTTTATGCCTTGACAAAGATGAAAAAATTCGCTGAGGAAGACCGCTCAGAATTAAATGTATGTCATTCTTTGGGGTGATTTTTCATCTAGACATTGTTGTCGTTTCGTCAAGCGGCGAAGACACAAAAGATTGCAGGTGTTTTTTTTTATCAAATCGCGCGCTGTTTTATCTAGTGCCAGGCGGGCAGACTGCATTCAAAACTTTAAAAAAATATAACTACAGCACGGCACAGAACTTTTACTTTTTGCCGTATCTAGCCTGATCCTTGTCTGTTAAAACCTAGCCTAATTAGAAGATCGAGATTGATTTTTTAATTAGGCAAGACTCTAAAATTGAACGATTATAACGAAAACTGATTAATTTCCTGGTCTGTAAATCTGTAGATCATTTCCTTCAATCCCATTGTTGTAGGGCTCCAGTTTGCTCAACAGTTATCTTGAGATTTCCTATCACAGCTTAGGGTTTGTACTTGGGTCTACTGACGTCAATGGAGACGAATGAAAGAGGAACTGCTGTCACAAAATTTGGCAATTTCCTACACACATTCAGGCATCATTTGCCATCACTCTTGCTTCTTTTTTGTTTCGCAAGGAAAAAATATGAACAAAAGAAAACAAAATTCCGTGTGAAGCAAGCCAATTTGCCTATAACTAACAACTATTCACCGAAGTGGACTTGGCAAGTGGTGGATCTACCGCTAGCCACCGATACAAAGGTGAAATAGTTTTCTTAGTATATACTAAAACAGTGAGATTATGTAGCACAAAAAAATGATTTCAACTCATTCATTCTTGCATCAATTACAACATTTTCGAACCACACCAGTCCATATTTTCTAATCACAATATTAATTCTACACCAGGTCTATCAGTCAACTTTAGTTCAAAGTGCGATATCTACCTCGCTGGGCATCACAAAGATGTGCTTAATAAGGAAGTCCCTATTCATTTGTTTATGAAAGGGCAAATTTTATAATCTATCACCAGTGTAGCTACACATGTTGATTTCCAATATTCGTCTGGTTCGTGACTGAAAGGATTAATAAATATTTTAATCAAGATTCTCTGGAACAAAATATTTCTGCTGTATAGGAGAAAATGAGACTTTAAGAAAATTGGCCTATAGGAGATTTAAAAAAAAATGACCAAGGTCATTGTAAACTTCCAGAAATTTCAAAAGAGTAACGAGGGTATTTAGGTTTCGCCTTGTTGCAAGTTCGACTCCAACCACCTTTACGAGTTCGCCCCCGCCTTTACCAGCTCGCCCCCAGATCTTTCCACTTGTTTTGTCACAGCAGAGCGTATTCGGTCAAACTCATAACATATTTCGTTCACCATGAAACCTCCAGATACCATAACGACAGAGGTAAATTGTTGCATAGGTAGGTGCCATTTCGTAACTAACCGTAAATTAATGTCAACCCAGAGAAAATTTTCGTAAAACAAGATGAAAAGTTTGTGTGTTTTTAGGTAACACTTTAAAGGTATTATCATATACGTACAGTTATGAAACTAACTCTTGTTCAAACTTTTCGTTATTTACAGTACTTGATAAAATACATAAATTTTAGTCCATTAAAAGACAACGAATTATTATCATATACGTACACTTATGAAACTAACTCTTGGTTTAACTTTACGTTACTTACAGTGTGTGATAAAATAGATAAATTTCAGTTCACTGAAAGACAACGAGTCTATATTCATGAAAAGAAATCGTTCACAATGTTCTCTTTTTCGGGCGGCAACTGGTAAAATTTATCTGCTGCAGTAGCTATAACTACCCCCTCAAATCGCTTGGAATTCTAAAAAAATCAACTGGTAAACTGAGGATTTCCCTGCCCGTTTGATTTTTTTTTATTACTTGTCGTACTTAAATCAAAGGTAAACACTGGGTTCGTAAGACCTTACAAGTTCACGATTTGAAGAAGTCATAAGGTGGCTAAAATGTTTTTTCTCTGATGGTTCGATATCACTGCACTTTTTCGCTTGCACCCTTTATTAAGAACTACGAATGATTTGTTTAGTTCGAGAGCCGGGAAAGAAAGCCAACTGTGTTTGTAGCACAATAACCTACGAGAGTCGTTTCTGTTTTCTTTGTTTTGACTATCGTCTCCCGCTTTTTGCGTTTCCATCGCCGACGTTGTCCAAGAATCCCGAAAGCAGTTTGTAATTCAATTTTTTTCATGCGAGGAATCAATGCAGGCAATCCCGAGCAAGCACGATGGGCCCATCTTGCCCGCTCGGGCAGCCAATCAGAACACAGGACTCGCTTCATCTTGCCCACAGGCGCTGCGAGCAATGTAATAAAGTAAAATAATCACAACTTGTATTGAATGAGCAGGTTTTTTGTACCAATTTCAAGGAGAAAATTGAAAAAGTGTGAAAGTCACGATACGTCAACGAATAGATGATTAAAAATATCAAAATTGTTTGAAACCACATTAAAAGATTTCCTTGGTAATTTCAGAAGGCTTTGAAGAACCCTTGTCAAGACTACAAATAAGGTAAGTTGCATAATTTAACTGTTCATTTTCTAGACTAACTTTCAAGTACTGTCTGTCTCAATCTTTTAACCCTTTCACTCCAAAGAATGATGGGATAATTCTCCTGATTCATGACAAAACATCCTAATAATGGCGCTACCCTTGGTAATTTGGTGCTATTTCATTCTCGGAGCACTACTTTTTGTCTGAACGACATTGCGGTAAGATTAATCGGAAAATCCACAGATTTGTCACTTCTGAGAGAGAAGAAGATGTAAAAAAAAATTACCAGTACTCAACTCAATTGTTTAGTCATTATGGTGCAATATCTGAACAAAAAGTCACAAAACCCCTTCAAATGACCTGATGACAGCTCTCTCCAGTGAAAAGTCATAGTTATATTGATCAATATTGGGCAATGCTTTTCTCAGAACATCACCAGTCCTTTGATTAACATGTAATATTGCTTGAAGTTGTTTAGACAGCTCCATCGGAATATCAGAGACTGTAATGAAAGTTGTGTTCTTTTTTGATACCGTCAGTGAAGTTGATGTTGTAGAAGCAGTTGACCCTACAAAAAAGGTAAGTAAACAAGGCAGTTAAGAATCAGTAGTAACTGGCAAAAGATGTATAATTTGAACAGAGTATATATTAACCTATTTACTCCCAAGATCTCATTCATAATTCTACTTACTGTCTGCTCTACAATTCTTATGGTGTTGGTTTGAAGAATTTGGAATTGGATTGACCTCATTGGTAATTTTTCTTGATTCTCATCCCTTGTCTGCTAGATATTGTGCTGATACAGCAAGGAGAAATTCTGTCTTGATCACTCACGGGAGTTTAAAGGTTAAGTAAGCAATAGAGGAAAACAGACACATAGTCGATAAGTGCTATAAAAAGTCATTTTAAATTAACACTAAATTCTCTCAACTAATATATTTAACAATTATTCCACAAGCGCGCATTGGATATGAGATCATAGATAGCCAATGAGGCACGTAGCGCCAAGTTGGCTATAATAACCTCATATCCAACAAGTGCGAGTGGAATAACTGTTTTATTAAAAAAGATGCCCCCAGGATATTAGACAAATCTTCTCGACTTTATTTTGTAAGAAGAAACCGGATGTGAAGGTGAAGTCTGATCGTCCGGGTGAGTGTAGTCCTGAGAAGGACTGTTGTCGGTGGTAGTGACTGACGTTTCGACAACCTGTGTGGAAGTCATCCTCAGAGTCAAGTGAATGATTGATGTCAGTAGAATGTTCTTATTCCAGTTCGTGTGAAATGATTGGTTGGTTTTGCAGTGATGTTATTGGCTGTAAGACTCAAGTGACGCAAGTCAGTCGTGATTGGTCTGTTTCAATCTGTCGGTAAAGTTAGGTTGTTCTTTTTCTGTCGTTTGTGATGTTTATGTCGTGAATGAGTCGTTTGTATGGAGCAGGTAGTTGTTGACATCTGTTTAGGGGAGTCTGTTCTAAGTTAGTAAACCAGCTTTCCTGAGTCAGTCGTTGAAAATAGTCAGTGCTGTAGGTTAGGCATTGCGCAAAGTCCCAGTCAATGTTGTGGTTGGTAAGTCGATGGTGTTCAGCAATGCTGACAGATTTTCAAATTCAAAATATGAGAGCCAAATATACTTTTAATGAAAGCTTATACATAGTTCTATAAGAATCCAAATCTAGATTGGCAGTAGTGGCCACACCCAGGGTGTGTGACGCCATTGTTTTTGAGGGTTTTTATCAACCGCATAAGCCATTTTACATACCTAAATTGCTACATCTTAAAGAAATTTGATTGCCATGAATCAGATTTTGAGATCTTAACTACTCGCTAGGATGGACCTTTCAATGCCAAAAGAAAAAAATTCTCAAACATTTAATGCCTCAGACGTACAAAGACATAAACAGTGTTGCGGACGTGACCTTCCGGGTATGATTCAGAGCAACATTTATTTAATTTCTATGTACGTTCTCAATTGTTTCAGGTCTTATTTATGCTGCTCTTATTGTTAAGTATGATGATAATTTTGACGCCCCAGCTTGCTCAAATTTGTCAACTATTTAACAGATATCGGGTTGCGGACGTGACCGTTGCGGACATGAGACATTTGTAAAAACCCAGAAAACCTCATAAAATTTTCAAACATGGGAAGATGTGTTGATATCTAATGACAGGAAATGGTAATTATAAACATATTATGATATATGTAAAGCTATCATTTTTTTACAATTTTCTAAAAATATATAAATGCCCTTTGATGTACAAAATGACCTTGATCATCAAAGTTTTTATATTTTATTTGTTATTTATTTCCCAATTTACATATAAAATCAATAAAAGCAGCATTTTTACTTCAGTGGCATTACTCTGAACGTTATTAGTGGTGAATGAAAAACTCTTTCTTGAACATCCCCAAAATGTCACGTCCGCAACAAATTTTGGTCACGTCCACAACACAATATTTTTATTCTTTATATATATTATTTGTTATTTATTTCCCAATTTACAGATAAAAGCAATAAAACAGCATTTTTACTTCAATGGCACATTACTCTGAACATTATTAGGGGTGAATGAAAAGCTCTTTCCTGAACATCCCCAAAATGTCACGTCCTCAACAAATTTTGGTTATGTCCGCAACACAACATTTTTGTCAATAAATCCATGGTAACAAGTAATTTCTATAATATCTTTTCAGATTTATGAAGCACAATTACTATTGCATTTAGTTAGTATATGCAGTTTTTTTTATAGGTTTTCAATTCACAGGAAATTTGAAGTAACCAAAAGCAATTCAAATCAGTGGTTGTTTTAGGAGTCACATCCGCAACACACTTTGAAAAATTATTTTCTCTGGATCTCTAAGAGATAGTCAAAATGTTTTCTGGCAAAATAAAAGGTACTTCAGCAGTAATTTTATGACATGACTCATTTCAATTCAAATAGTTTGGATCTGTCTTTAGGAGACATTTAATACCCAAATTTTGCCTCTAAATGTCATGTCCACAACATGGAATTGACCTTTTGAGCAAAAAATTTAGAAAGAAGAGTGTCCCTAAAAAAAGGTTTCTTGAGTGATAAATATTAACAGGAGAAATTGCAAAGGTATGGGGAAATGGAAGTGAGAGATCTTCATGACAGTTACCTTTTGGAGAATATCGACAGCTCTGCTGGGCATTTTCAAACACTCTAACATTTCCACATTCAGGACTATAATCAGATTGCTACAAAAAAAAATTATTTCAATCAAAAAAAGTTATGTTAAGGGTATCCCCATTAATCTCATTTAATGATAACATTTGGACATCAAAGTAATGATTAGTCATCATTAGAATCTCATCTAAAATTAAGATTTCCTACAAGAATAGCAGGCAGTGAAGTAAAGAGACTACAGCAGCTAGGGATCTTGATTGATTGAAAAATATTGTATACTACTGAGAAGGTAGCAAAGAAGGGTACTAATCCCATTTTGAGTTTGCATGTTTTTAGAAAAATTCATGCCTGGCATATTTTAAAGGGAAAACATCAGATCTCTCTTCTTGTGTACAAGGTTTCAGGGAAATTATGTGGTTTCCATGAAATGAAAGAAAAAATTCAATGGTCATGTGAATCTCAGGAGTCAAATTATGCCTCATGCTGGTTCATAAATCCATGAATCTTATTTGCTTTTTCCATAAAATTCATGCACCACATGTTAGTTATTGGCCTTAAAGTGCCTATGAAGTAAAAATTTTTTTTGCCCTGTTTGTTTCCTTATGTCTTGATGAACACAGCTAAGTGATTTTGACCGACCAAAAGAACTTTCTTGTATTATTTTTTGAACCTCAAAGTTGGATTTTGCAATCTGAAATGAGTCCATTTTGTGCGCGGTCAAATTTCATCTTACAAAGGAAGTGACATAGTTGGTGGTTCTGAAGACGACAAACAAAAGTTTAAACAAAGCGCCAGAACCACCAACTACATCATCAGAGTCAAACTCGTTGCCAGTTTCCGGAGACACCGATAACATCTAATTTAGGGACTTCGAGCCACCAAAAAGCTGATTTAAATTTATTTTCTTGAAATTTCTTTTGTCATTCCTCAATAAGGACATAATAAGCTACAAAATTATGCAAAAGAATTTTTACTTCATAGGCACTTTAATCACTCATCACATATAATTTTTTTTGCCACCACCTTTTGCTTGAAGAAACTGGTAAAGGAGGCAAAGGTTACAAAATAACTGTATACTTGAGCTTGGTTTGATAACATTTTGGTGTTGAATCATAGGAAATGGGTAGATAGCAAATCTGATTCTAAGAATAAAAACTGTTAACAATGTTTTCACTGTGGGTATGCTTGGCCTGCTGTGATTAAAGTTTCACAAAAATGGAAGATACACATTTAGCAAACCTCGATTTATAAAAATTCTTATAATAGTGAAAATAATGCAATAAGTCAAAATTTTATTTTAGAAGGCTTTGTATTTCAACAGGAAGACTTTTCACTTTCTCACATCAGATTTTACACAGAAACACAGAAATATTTGAATTATAGCATTTTTCCTCTCGTCGGAGTCTTTATTTGATCAAGAAGATCAGGGAACAAGTACCAATGCGTAATAATCCACAAGGCTCACAATATTTGATTTATCTGATAACATAGATTTAAGAGTTTATGTCCTCTCAACAAAAACTAAATTATACAAGTGACTTCGTATGACTTTCTACATTTCCCTATTTAGCATGGAGTGAAATCATCTACAAAAGCATTAGTCAATGAAGACCAGGAAACTGCGCTACGCAGACAGCGCTTTTATCAGCGCTTTTTTCGAAAAATTATTAATAGCTTTGGCCTGCAGTCCAGGGAAACACCTGGAAAGATGTGAGGCTATTTCAGGAATTGCTACTGGCGAGATAAAAAACGAATACTGAAAAATCCAGTTTAGCTTAACTTGTGTCTCAACATCTTCTATCATGGTTTTATAATAACCTAGCGGTCTGATTTAATTAGCGAGCACACGCTATTTTACACCAACAAAATAGTGAAGCATAGCCCTTTATATTGTAACTCCAGCTATTTCTCCCCTTCCTAGAAATAACTAAGAGAATTAAATCTTGTTTCATACCTTGTATCGCTTGTTTTGTTCTGGAGTATACAACACAAAGCCGTCTTCATTGTCGTATGCTTCAATGAAGCCGTTTCCACCGTCCGCGGAACAGGTTTCCTCTAATTTCTTTGATTTCGTCCCCAAAACTTTCGCGTAGAAATCAGAAAGGAAGCTCATTTCCACGTCCAGCTGCTTGCAGCATAACAGACACAACCAAAAACTGCAATGACGACAAAATAAAAAGCGGATCACTTGTTCTTAAGAATGCTAACGTGACAACGGGTACTCAATCCTCGGAGACCCAGGGGCAGTGAGTCGGCTGAAGAGCCCCTGGGGACATTGTCTTACAAGACTAGTTCCAAACGGTCGCAGTCGTTCTGGTATCTGATTGGTGCCAGAAAAT